CTGAAAATAGATTTGGCCAAGCTGTTTCCAATATTGAATTCTTAATTTACTTTGGACGTAATATAAAGTTCATGTATGTTTAGAACAAAATATATATTCATAATCATGGTCAACAAATTGTGTATCATCAGGAGCAGGTGTGGTAACTTTTTTAGCAGATATATCATCATCGGTGAATTCACTTTTAAAATCCTCGACATAATTAATTTTACACCCATTCCTGCCATCAACGATTGTATAGGAAACTTCTTCATCCTACGCAAAGAATCTTTTGGGTGTGCCTATTATATTATCAATATTCTTAAGTCAGAAAATAAATAACATAGATATAAACTATATCTAGAAAAAAAAAAAAAAAAATATATATATATATATATAACTCACTGCATGGTAATTGCTTCCAGATATCATCTTCAACATCATCTTTTTGAGTTTCTTCATTTCACCCAATCCCTTAATGAATATTATCTCATGTCTAAACAAAGATACATAACATATTTAAACAGCCAAATAGCAATAGAAATGTACATATTTATTCTATATGGCGATACACTATTACAAAGATTCATATTCATAGAAGTGTAAAAAAAAAGTCCATCTTTTGGTTGCAACTATAGTCTATCTTTTTCCTTCTTGTAGAGAAGAATTGAGATGGAAGAAGCAAGGCTGAAGCTGTTTTTATCCCTTAGACTACATCAAAATATGGATGGATATTTTGTCCTGGAATTAGCAAAAATGATTTTTTATAGATATTTTGGCTTGGAATTAGCAAAAATGTTTTTTCTGCTTTTACCAATTGCACTATTCTGTAGTTAACTACAAATATTTCCAATAACAAAAAAATCATATCTTTAACATGCTAACCTTATGTGTTCTTTTGAATTAGGGAAGATAATTGTTTTTATCCGTTATAACATGGATGAACTAAGAAACAATTTGAGCATTCAAGAGAATATTGGGTACTATTGAACTATAACTTACCAAAGATTTTGATCTTCTCTTTTAAATAGGAAGCAACATAACTTTGTGAAGTTGAACTTAGAGATAGTTAATGTTGCCTCTTATATAAATAATAATGAATTATCAAAATTCTTGGAAATCATAGTTCAATAATACATAATCTTCTTTTCAACACTAGACCAAATTAATTCTAAGTCCATTCATGTTATAATAACGGATAAGGACTATTATGTTCTCTAAATCATAGGGACACACAAGATTTGCATGCTTAAAGCATGAAAAATAATATTATGGGAAAAACTTGCAATCAATTGCATGATAGTACAAGTAATAGAAGCAGAAAAAACATTCTTACTAATTTTTAAAGTCAAGATCTCTATTCATATTTTGAAGTCGCTCTAATCTTTGTTCATCCATCTCAATTCTTCTCTGTAAGTAGAAAAATATTTAGATTGTTGTCACTAACAAAAATATGCTTCTTTTACACTTCTACGTGTATATAAGTTTTTATTATATTGCATTTACATACTTTCTTAAGAACTTAATCCTATGATTAGAGGCACTTTGATGACTAATCAATTCCAATTTCTTGATGATGACACTCTTAGAGTTAGGGATACTTTAGTTATATCCTAACATGCATTGTACTTCTAGGTCAAAGAGAATAAAGTAATAATAGTCTTCAACTTTTAAAAAGAATCAGTTTTATAGTTTATTAGCAAAAATTATGACTAAGATTTATCTTTGTAAAGAGCTCCACCCATAATCTCACATACATAGCTTCTAGTTACCATGAGATTGAGAACATCAAAGAACTTAGCTTTGCTTTTAAAACATGTTGAAGAGCAGCATCATTGAAATATACAATGAGGGCATATCACATCAAATGTAAATTTATTCTTAGTATGTAAGTTATATTTATCAATCATCTTTCTGCGTTTGACATTTCAATAAATATGAATACCTTTTAGAAAGTCTTTGGATAATAAACGAAATAGTTGAAAAAATTAGGGACGGCTTACAAGGTAAACAATACAGATTTCAACATACAATGAGGGAAAAGAATCAACTGATAGACTACTTGGCAAACATTACAATAAGAAAAGGAAATTGCATATTCACAATTTTTCAGAGAATGGATGCGAAAGGAAGAAACATTATAAACAAGGGCGGAGCTACACACACCTAAGGGTGATCAGATGAACACCATTCCTCAGATTTTTTTTTGAATATATAGGTTAAATATATATATATTGTTGAATATATACTAATTGTTGAACACCCTTGAAACAAAAGAGAGAGATAGCTCTGTGGATAAAGCAATACAAATTTTCCTTAGAGGCCTGGGTACGACACCAGGCTCCTATAACTATATTTAGTTGTTTATTCACTTTAAAAGAGGTCCTCTTTTGTTGTTGAAGAAAAAAAATGAAAAACTATCTTTTATTATTAAAAACCAAACAAGAAGTTACTTTTTTGTCACGATCCAGAGGTACCCCCTAGACGTTTCATGGTGTAATTGACCCTGAAGGAGTCTCATACAAGCCCTTAGCATAATCATTACATAATATTATAGAAAGTAGGGGAAAATTTATAACTTCTTTAATCCATACAATCGAAAACATTTTCATAAGCAAGCGGAAGTCTTTACTACAACTTTGTCTCAAACCATCAATTAAGAACTCTTGAATAAAAGACTTGGGAAGCAGCCCACATAATTGTCTAAAACATAAAGAAATGACATAAAGGAAACATAAGGGGTTTGTCCTCGAAGCTATGAGGACTTACCAATTCTTCAACTCTTCTTGCACCTTAGCAACCTAGCCTCCAAAGCAACTAAATCTCTAAATCCCTACATTTTATTATAATTTAGGCAATATGCATTAGTACAAAATGTACCAAGTATGAAAGCTAGCACAACATCATAAGAGCATCTCAAAATGGTTTGTCAACATAAGACATAACCATAAGAGATAATCTCATAGTCATAGCATAGTCTCCAACATAAGCATCATATAACCATAAGTCAACATAAGACATAATAAATGAGCATAGGAGATACATCATGTTCATGGCATTTACCTAACCTTTCATGATTTACAAACTTCAACCGTTGTCTAACATATTACAAGAGAACTACTTCACAAGACAACTCAAAGCATACTTGTGCAAGGCAAGATTAGCATCCCATAATACCATCCAAGCTAAGTTCCTCTTTTTAGTCATTCTTGGACATAGTTCAACTTCATAGTCAAGACCTAGGTTTCCATGTCATAAGAGCACTTATACTCCTAAGTAACCTCAAGGAACACTTGTGCAATGCATGAGGGGTATCCCATAATACCACTCACACTAAGCATATCTTGAAGTCACTTTATTCATGTATACTATTCATAAATGTCATTCTTGACCTACTTCATAAAAGACAAGGAACTACCATCTCTAGTCAATTATATCATGGAAGGCAACTATAGCAACAATCCAAGCTAAGCATAAAACACATAAGAGGATACTTCATAAGTAGCTACAAGTCATACTTGTGCCATGTATGAATGGCATCCCATACTACCACTCACACTAAGTACTCCTTTAGGCTAACTTACTCAATGCTTACTATTTATCATTCTATTCTATAAAAGAATAGCACACTATTAGGCTAAACCTAACTACCATGGAAAACACACTTCCATGAAATCAAAAATATCCAAAGGAAGAATACAAGTATTCCAACCTAGCTACCATGCAACATTCAATATGATGCAAGCTACCCTTGGGAGAGTATGAACCATTAACCCTAAGCTATCCATAGGAGAGTATGAATCCTCAATCCTAAGTTAGCATGAAATAACCTTGGCATAACTAAATCAAGCTACCATGAAAACATCCTCGCAATGCTAGTTCAAGCTACCCTTAGGAGAGGATAGGTCCTTAATCCTAGTCTACCATGCCTACTCTAGTACAAGCTACCATGAATAGCATCCCACAAATGCTAATTCAACCTACAATGAAAAGCACCCTTGCAATGCTTACTCAAGCTAATCTTAGGAGAGTATGGTTCCTCAATCCCAAGTTACCATGAGACCTTCTAACTAATGCTACACAAACAAGCTATACATGAAGGGATTATACATCACAACTTCAAGATATCCTATTCTATCATGCTTGAATTCATTTTAGGTGATTAACCTTTCATTCTAGAATAAATCTATGTGAGAAGACCTTTCACATTCTACATACATGCATTCCATTTAGTACAAGATAGGTCATGTGGGTAAAATCCTTTCACCACAACTCTAACCCCTTGTATACCATTCATATGCAAGCTACTCATCATATTAGAATTACTCTATAAGCCCTAGTGATCAACATTATGACTTCAAGCCCTACCTTCAAGCTTTACTCCACAATCATTATACTAGACTAGATCATAAGACATATTAGTCACAAGCCATAATAATAGGCAATTCTATGCATAATTCCTCATAAAGTCCCAAATTTTGTCATTGCAATTCATGATCTATCATACATTCATAATTCTAGTTCAATTCATGATTTCATATTCCTATTCTTGAATAAGTTCTATACATTAAAAACATTTCTAAAGAATATATCAAGAATCATCAATTTCTCATCAAAAGACATAAACCCACATAATTTGATTTCTAGAGTTAATCATGGAATTCACATAAATTCTTCATTATAACATGAATCAACACTAAATTAATCATATATATTATTCAAACAATTGGAATCTGTTGGTGTTTTTAAAAAATGGGGTAGCAACAAAAACTTTGAAAATGTCTCTCAATATTTTATTAATCATAATAGGGCTTTAAACAACCAACTTGATAACATAATCAACAGAAAATCTTCATAACTATAATTTGAGAAGACTAAATAATCTCAACAATTTAACAAATATTTAAAATTAAAATTCATCCTCAAACTGGGTAGCTTATTATTTTAAAAAATGATTGTAATAACTAAAAGCAAACTTAACACTCCGCCTTCGCTTTAGAAACTGCAATTTAAAAAGGTTGCTACTCCTCGATTTTTGCTTCTACAACTTGTGCTTGAAGATTGTTTTTAAGCTTGCAAACTTTTGTAACATGACCGGCTTGTTTGCCATTTCCACATACTGTATCTGGTCTCCACCAACAAATTTTTTCCAAGTGCATTTTTCTTTTACAGTATTTGCAAAGAGGATAATTCTCTTTTTCTTTTCTGTTTTGTGCATAAAAGGCACCCTCAGTAACATTATCTTGCATAAAAGCGCTTCTTTGCTCTTGTACTTGAAGAGCACTTATTAGTTCTTCAACAGAAATAGTAGAGAGATCTTTAGACTCTTCCAAAGATGAAATTTTAGATTTGAATCTCTCTGGAATTGTCACAAGAATTTTTTTCTACTGTTATGTCATCTTTGAAATCCTCACCAAGAAACCTGATTTTATTAACAATAAAAGAAATCTTGTCAGAATACTTAACAATAGTTTCATCCTCTTGCATCCTAAGAGATTCGAAATTTCTTTTCAAATTCAAAATTTCCATTTGCCTGACTCAGTCACTTCCTTGATATCCCTTTTTAAATTTTCCCCAAGCTTCTTTTTTGCCATCTCACAGGCAATGATATTTGAAAAAATCAAATCCACAACTGAATTTTGAATTACAGTTTTGGCTGTGAATTTTTTGTTTTTTTCATCCAAATGAGATTTAATTTGAGCAATGGTAGGATTTGCAGGGAGAGGTTGTAAGGGTATATCTTCCATTATAACTTCCCACAGATCATAGGCTTCAAGATATGATTTCATTTTCACTGACCAAATCTGATAGTTTTCACTAGATAAATTTTGTAGGGAATTCAAAAATAGACTGTTGCTGCCATTATTTTGGTTAAAAGAGTGATTTAGAAAAGCATGTGCGTTGAAAATAGCACGGGTTGAAAAGGAAGCCTTGATGGGTTAAAATGGGCAGCTTGATGGGTTAAAAGGTAGCCCTTACGGGATAACAAATGTATGATAGTTCTTTGGAAGATTTCACAGATCCCTTAAGATCAATGAAGCTCTTGATACCACTGTTGGTGTTTTTAAAAATGGGGCAGCACACAAGGATTGAAAATGTCTCTCAATATTTTATTAATCATAATAGGGCTTTAAATACCCAACTTGATAACACAATCTGCAGAAAATTTGCATAACAAGAATATAAAAAGTGTAAATAATCTCAACAATTAAAACAACCTAACAAATATTTAAAATTCAACTTCATCCTAAAACTGGGTAGCTTATTATTTTAAAAAATTACTGTAGTAACTAAAATCAAACTCAATAGAATCATACCCATCTAAAACCCACATATTGGAAGTAATCCTAGCTTAGATTGGGGTTCTTCTTCACAAATCTTGGGGAATTCTAGGGGACTCTATGGGTGGAATAACCCATAGTTGAAAATCCACACATACCTTAATCAAAGCCCTAGCACAAGCCTTCAACAATGGAGCCTTTGATTTTGACCTTAACTTCAAGCTCTAGCATCTTCTTCAATGGAGGTCTTTCTAGAGAGAGAAATATTTGAGAAATGAGTGATTTGGGGTTTTGATTTCGGTCTTGTGAAAAGTGACTTAAAATACCTTAAATAGGTGAATAAAACTCATATAAAATGACCCCCATTTAAAGCTAGTCGAATTGGAATTTACTAAACTAACCCTCACTAGGCAGCCCCTTGCTAGGGTCCACGCCCAAGTTCACGAGCCATCAATGGCACCACGGCCCATGGTGGTGCCCTTGGTCCCTTGACCAGTGGCTCCCCTCAACATTCTAAATTCTCAAAATCCTAAGGCCTTCCCACGAGCCGTGGTTATCACCACGGGCCGTGAAGTGGCTCGTGGTCCCTTAGGCAGTAGCTAAGCTTTTGGACCTTGCCTCCCCTGAGTCTAAGGGGTCTTCACGGACCCCTTCACGGACCGTGGTCAAGACCACTGGTCATGAACTCTTGGGCAGTCGCTTGCCAAGGTTGGACAGCCTTGGCCCATTGGCTTAGGCTTGCCCTTTTTGCCTTGGCAGTTGCCCTTCCCATGCTCAACCAAACTGTAAATGGTCTTCTAAGTTACTAGGTATAACACGTACCTTGATGTTCAAATACTAAACCCCTCATTCAAAGTACGTAAAGTCTCATCTACGACTCTAATTCTCAACATCACCCTCTAGAACCCTAGTTTTTTGCTCTAGTTTAGTCTACTAATTTTCGGGGCGTTACAATATCTCCCCCTTGGGAATATACATCCTCAAATGACAATTTTAAACACATCTTAAAAGAAATGACTCTAGACTAGCAGCCTATCATGCATGCAATACATCTAAATGCACACAACCAAGGAGAAAAACATCAAATCCAAGCTAAACATACCCATCGCAACACAAGGGAGTAAGAACTACATCTTCTACCCAAAAATGCAAGAAATTATATATCTATTCATCTTCAAGGAGGAACTAACATCTCTTAGCTAAACACATGCTCAATATACATTCATGGAGCCTAAATGGAATTTAGTCACAAAAGTCAATAGTTCAAGGAGGAATCTTTCAACTCCAACACTAAGGCATGGTCATATAATCATCTCATGAAGTCTATATGCAACTCTACTCAATGCACTACAACATGAGGAAACCAATGCACATTAGTCATCCCTATCAAGCCCTAAGCATTTTCATGAACATGCATATAAGGAAACCATGGCAACACATTATCACATAATAACCTTATTACATAGGTACACTATCTCCCTCCTTGGGAATAAGCATACACAAGCTCTTCTAAACATAATTCATACTAAAGATAACTTCAAGTCCAACACAGCAAGTCACAAAAGACAGGGAATCCAGAAATTTACTAAAGCATGAAACGCATGCCGGAAAGGACATGAGGAGATCACTCTTGATCTTCTATATATTGGAGAGCATAAAACCTATTCTTTTTTTGAGGCTCCACATCCCCACTACTAGAGGCAACATGCTTAACCTCTCTAATTGTAGGCCTTGCCTTTGGACAATCTTTCTTCATGTGGCCACTCTCACCACAACTGTAGGAACCCTCTCTACCAGCTAAACACCTACCCTCATTCCTCTTACCACACCTAAAACAAGTGGGCTATAGGGACTCATTACTTCTCCCTTGTGGCCTAGGAGTAGACACCCTCTCATTGTTATGCTTAGGTGCATTAGAAAAGCCTTGTCCGGAAAAGTTTTGTCGATTCCACCCATCATGAAAGGATTTATCACCATCCATCCTAGACATCTTTTTCTCCCTAGATCTCTCTTGCTTGACTTTTTGTTCTTCCATTTATTCTGTATGTATCATGAGGTGTGATATGTCCATATTATCAACAAGCATTGCCGTACGACATTCTTTGGCTACCATGTCGGACACACCCAATAAAAACCTATTCATTTTATCTCTCGGATTTGACACTATGGATGGAGCATACTTAGACGAAAGAGTGAATTTCAAGGCATACTCTTTAACCCTCATGTTACCTTGCTTAAGATTGATGAACTCTTCCATCTTAGCGTCCCTCAACTCCCGAGGAAAGAACCTTTCTAGAAAGGCCGACTTAAATACTTCCCACTCTATAGGACTCACTCCTACTAGCCTACTATCCTTCCATTGTTCATACCAAATTTGGGCAACATCTTTCAATTGATAAGTGGCTAGTTCCGCTTTCTCTATAGTAGTCACCCCCATCATAGAAAGTATCATATAAACCTCCTCTATGAACCTATTCGGATCCTCTTCCACCTTGGAGCCACTAAACTCTAGAGTATTCATCCTCAAAAACTCCCTTATTCTAGCAACACCCATCCCACTTATTGGGTTTGCCGGAGCCACCACCTCTCTATTGACTTGCGTCATTAATGGTTGAGCCAACAATTACATAGAAGCCTTAAACTCCACTAGGGTGGCATTCCTAAATGGAGGGTCATTTGGAACTTGAGGAGGAGCTTGGTTTGGGACTTGAAGAGGAACCTCTTGCTCTCCATTGTCTTCCTCATCCCTCCTAGCATTAGCCCTAGTATTTTCCATAACTAGAAAAACCATAGGGCAAACATTAGAAGAAGGACCTACTAGAGCTAAACTTGTATGGCACGACTAAAAGAATGAAGAAGTGAGATTTCCTAAGCATCCAATATCCTTTTATTCATAAAAGTGGCACACTTCACATTTATGAACAAGACTCTACAAGACGTGGTTTGAGACAATCCTAGAACCATTCTAAACCTTGTTCTCCAATTACTAAGTTTGTCATGACCCAGGGGTACCCCCTTGACGTAACATGGCGTACTTGACCTTGAAGGGGTCTCATACAAGATGCTAGCATAGTCATAACATAAGATCATAGAAAGTACGGGAAAATTTAAAACATCTTTAATCCATGCAATCGAAAATATTTTCATAAGCAAGCTAAAGTCTTTACTACAACTTTGTCTCAAACCATCCATTAAAATCTCTTGAATAAAAGACTAGGGATGCAACCCACATAATTGTGTAAAATATAAAGAAATGACATAAAGGAAAAATGAGGGGTTTGTCCACAAAGCTATGAGGACACACCCATTCTTCAACTCTTCTTGCACATTAGCAACCTAGCCTCTAAAGCAACTCAATCTCTGAAACCCTACATTTGATTAGAATATAGGCAATATGCATTAGTACAAAATGTACCAGTATGAAAGCTAAGACAACATCATAAGAGCATCTCAAAATGGTTAGTCAACATAAGACATAAGCATAAGAGATAATCACATAGTAATAGCATAGTCTCCAACATAAGTATCATATAACTATAAATCAACTTAAGACATAATAAATGAGCATACGAGATACATCATGTTCATGGCATTTACTTAACCTTTAATCCTTACATACTTCAACCTTTGTCTATCATATTACAAGAGAACTACTTCACAAGCCACCTCAAAGCATACTTGTGCAAGACAAGGATAGCATCCCATAATACCATCCAAGATAAGTACCTCTTTTTAGTCACTCTTGGGCATAGTTCACATTCAAAGTCAAGACCTAGGTTTTCATGTCTTAAGAGAACTTTTACTCTTAGTAACCTCAAGGCACACTTGTGCAATGCATGAAGGGCATCCCATAATGCAACTCACACTAAGCATATCTTGAAGTCACTCTATTCATGCTTACTATTCATAAATGTCATTGTTGACCGACTTCATAAAAGACAAGGAACTACCATCTCAAGTTAATCATATCGTGGAAGGCAACTATAACAGCAATCCAAGCTAAGCATACATCACATAAGAGGACACTTCGTAAGTAGCTTCAGGTCATACTTGTGCCATGTATGAGTGGCATCCCATACTACCACTCACACTAAGTACTCCTTTAGGCTAACTTAGTCAATGCTTACTATTTATCATTCTAGCCTATCAAAAAATAACACACTACTAGGCTAAACCTAACTACCATGGAAAAGACACTACTATGCAATCGAAACTGTCCAAGGAAGAATACAAGTGTTCCAACCTAGCTACCATGCAACATTCAATTTGATGTAAGATACCCTTAGGGGAGTATGAACCCTCAACCCTAAGCTATCTTTAGAAGAGTATGAATCGTCAACCCTAAGCTACCTTAAAATGGCCTTGGCCTAACAAAATCAATCTACCATGAAAGCATCTTTGCAATGCTAGTTCAAGCTACCCTTAGGAGAGTGTAGGTCCTCAATTCTAGGCTACCATGCCTACTCTAGTGCAAGCTACCATGAATAGTATCCCACAAATGCTAATTCACGCTACCATGAAAAGCACCATTCCAATGCTAACTCATGCTAATCTTAGGATAGCATGGATCCTCAATCCCAAGCTACCTTGAGACTTTCTAACTCATGCTACATAAACAGGCTGTACATGAAGGGACCATACATCACAACTTCAAGGTATCCTATTCTAACATTCTTGGATTTATTTTAGGTCATTAACCTTTCATTCTAGAATCATTCTATGTGAGAAGACCTTGCACATTCTACATACATGCATTCATTTAGTACAAGATAGGTCATGTGGGTAAAATCCTTCCCCCACAACTCTAACCCCTAGTATACCATTATTATGCTAGCTACTCATCATATTAGACTTACTCTATAAGCCCTGGTGATCAACATTATGACTTCATGCCCTACATTCAAGCTTTGCTCCACAATCATTATACTATACTAGATCACAAGACATATTAGTCACAAGCCTTAATCGTAGGCAATTCTATGCATAATTTATCATAAAGTCCCAAATTCTATATTTGCAATTCATGATCTATCATACATTCATAATTCTAGTTCAATTCATGATTTCATATTCCCATTCTTGAATAAGTTTTATACATGATAACAATTCTAAAGAATCTATCAAAAATCATCAATTTCTAGGGTTAATCATGGAATTCACATAAATTCTTCATAATATCATGAATCAACACAAAATTAATCATATATATGTATTATCCAACCTATTGGAATCATACCCATCTACAACCCACACATTGGAAGTAACCCTAGCTTATATTGAGGTTCTTCTTCACAAATCTTAGGGAATTCTAGGGGACTCTATGGGTGGAAGAACCCATATATGAAAAGATAAACATACCTTATTAAAATCCCTAGAACTATCCTTCAACAATGGAGCCTTTGGATTTGACCTTAACTTCAAGCTCTAGCTTCTTCTTCAATGGAGGTCTTTCTAGACAGAGAATTATTTAAGACAAGAGTGATTTAGGGTTTTTACTTGGGCCTTGTGAAAAGTGACTTAAAATTGGTGGCTAATGAGTTAAAATACCTTAAATAGGTGAATAAAACTCATATAAAACGACCCCCACTTAAAGCTAGTCAAATTGGAATTTACTAAACTAACCCTCACTAGGCAGCCCCTTGCCAGGGGCCACGACGTAGTTCACGACCCATCAAGGGCACCACCGCCCATGTTGGTGCCCATGCTCCCTTGAACAGTGGCTCCCCTCAACTTTCCAAACTCTCAAAATCCTAAGGCATGACCACGAGCCTTCCCACAAGCCGTGGCCATGACCACGGACCGTGAAGTGGCTTGTGATCCCTTAGGCAGTAGCTAGGCTTTTGGCCTTTGCCTCCCATGAGTCTAAGGAATCTTCACGGACCCTTTCATGGACCATGGTCAAGACCACTGGTCGTGAACCCCTGGGCTGTAGCTTGCCAAGGTTGGGCAGCCTTGACCCCTTGGCTTACACTTGTCCTTTTTGCCTTGGCACTTCCCCTTCCCATGCTCAACCAAACTCTAAATGGTCTTCTAATCTATGAGGTCTAACACATACCTTGACTTTCAACTACTAAACCCCTCATTCCAATCACGTAAAGTCTCATCTACGACTCTAATTCTCAACGTCACCCTCTAGAACCCTGGCTTTTGGCTCTAGTTTAGTCTACTAATTTCCGGGGAGTTACATTTTTACTAATCAAATCAAGATAAGGACTTCATTCAGTATTTGACTTTCTCATTTTTAAAATTAAAAAATAGACATGCTTAAAAAAGAATGACCTAATTTTCTTTTTAGTCCATTTCAAAAAGAATGATCTCATTCCCTTTTTTATAACAATTTAAATTCTGCTTTCTACGTGACATGTTTAAGGCCACAAGATTAAAGAGAAATTTTATACATTTGACATAACTTTAATTTAGGATCATTAGATTCAAAAATATTCTTTATTTTCTTAAACTGTGTGTCAAGTCAAACTAGGCCACTCTTTTAGAAACGGAGCGAGAACTAATTTTTTTTTATTTTGATTAAAAAAATTAAGTGACCCCATTTCATAAAAGTATGAACACCCTTGACAAAAATATTCGATCTACCGTTGATTATAAACAATGACAAATTAAAAAGTTCATATCTAAAAGATCACTGTTAAGGAGATAATAGGGAAGGGGAAGCTACAACATAGGGTTTCCACATATACATCATTTACAAAAGACACAGGGGAAATAAGAAATTTGAAATGTTATTTAACCTAGACTATTTTCATCTAGAAAAATAAGAGGATTTGAGCCAGATGGAGACGTTTTAGACTAGAAGAAGCTTTAATCACTAGTATGAGGAAGTGGAAAGAAGCTACCCATGCACTTCATTCAAGCACCACTTCTAAGGTAGCAGAAATAGAAGAAATCCACGATGATGGAAAGAATGGGAAAAAAGAAGTAGCGATCACCAACCTAATGGTTAGGCATCCTTCCTTTGAGATAAGATCCAGAAGAAACGCACAAGGAGCACAGTTCACTGAATGAGAGATGATAACTGCAAAGGCACTTTGGTTAGATGAAATAGGCAAGTGAACTAGGAAATAAGGAAAATAGAGCAGACTTACTCTTATTTGGATGATAAACAAGGAAGCAAGGAGACGAATTCAACATAACATGAGGAGGCAGAACTTCTTGTTAGCCCAAAGAGGGAACATTTTCAGGTTCTTAGGGATGAATGCAAGAGAAGGAAAAGAGGCCAATTTAGAAAGCCCTAGACTTAAGGAAGTACTTATAGGGATTAGTTTTTGGGCTGGATCTGAAGTGGGTTGTGTCTGTTAGATTGTGTTGTTACATCTTAATAGACTTGGGTTTTAGTCCCCAATGCTAAAAATTTGACCAAAAAGATTACTATCTAGTAATAAACTAAGTAGTCAACTATGAATTGAGGTATGGCAATTCTCTTTTTTCATATTTAAAAATTAATACATCTGATTGTATTCACTAAGAATCACTAATTGATCATACTTTTAAAAATAAATTAAGTTATAGACTTCTTCACTGCGTGAGATGTTTCCATCGAGGGTGAGATTAAAAAAACATTTATGCCTCCTTAAGTAGGATATTTTTTGT